GGGCGGGGTCCGGGGGCCGGGGGCCGGGGGCCGGGGGCGGGAGGCGACGGTAGAGGGGAGGCCATGGGGCGGGGGACGGGGCGTTCGCTGCCCACACCTCGACGGCGGTCCCGGGAGGACGACACCTGGTCTCCGCTCACTCCGTCGCGTGGGAAGCTCGTCTGCCCTCCCGCCCGGGCCCGCTGACCTGCTCCTGTCCCGCCCCCGCTCCCCTCTACCTCCGGCCAGGTGGGCTGGCTGCGGTCCCCCACGAGTGGTGATACCACCCGCCGAGGATTCCATAACTACCAGGGTGTGACTCTGCTTAGGAGGAAGAAGTTTGGGGAACCAAAATTCGGTGTGAGCAGCTGCGACAGAACCGCACCCCTCCGCTGCCGGCTTAGCTGGAGGGAGCGAGCCTGCCCCCCAGGCCCTCGTGGGCTTCGCCCACCCCAAGCAGCCTGGCGGGTCCTTGCACACCACCTAGACCTCAGGGGCTCTGGGCCTACGGTCTCAAAGGGGCCCCTCCAGGGTGACCTGCCAACACTGTTGTCGTCGTCGTCCCCAGCCCCCCCCCCCCCCCCCCCGGTCCCCGGACTGAAGGACCCAGAGGAGGGAGGAAGGGAGCCAAGGCCACAGCACCAACTTTGTAGCTTCTGGTGTAGCTGCGGGCCTCCCCCAGTCCAGGCACCTCCCCGAGGTGGGTGGGTTCTCCCGAGGCTTGCTGAATTGACGGTTACCCATCACTAGTGCATTCAGAAGTCGTGTCCCAGTGGTGTGCCAGGCTCCTCGGACATGTCTGTGAATAAGTTGGTGCACGGTTACTGTAGGAGATGAACCCGGGCAGTGCACTTTGGGCTGCTTTCTAACCTGCCTGGCTCCCCAAATGCCAGCCCTTATTCCTTCTCTACACTTGGGGTTCCCGGACATGGAGCAGCAGGCCGGTGGCCCCCAGGCTTCCCCACACCGGTACCTGCTGTTGTCAGAATTCTCTGGCCAGGATTCCTGGCTCTGTGTCTAGAGACCTGGAACACGGCTGGACACAGAGCAGGACACGTCTCACTGCTGTCCTGGGACCACTGGGCAGTGGGGTCATAAAGCGTGAGTGGAAAGAGGGGCAAGGATAGCCGGAATTTGGGGGGATTTCTCAAGCTCTGTAACTTCCTCATCTGGTTATTTTGTAAACCTGACTGCTTCCCCAAAGTGACCACCAGCCACACCCACAGAAGAAGCCTTTTGAGCTGTGTTTTTGGATGTGATCATTAACATAATAAAAATACTAATGCTTGATCCAGGACTTGCTACATGCCTGGCACTGGGCCAGGCTTCCCAGGAATCTTCTGAGCAGGGACAGTCTGAGAGAAGGCACTGAGGCATGAGCTCTGGCCATGTGACTAGCCGAGATTACACAGCAGGCACCCTTCCTGTGTACACGTCTCTAAAGGGAACTTGTGCAGGTGCGTGTCTGTGATCAGGGACACCCTCTGTCCACCCTGGACCTCGAGACTTCGGGGAAGGGGCGCTTCCCCATTTCAGAGATGAGAACATGGGTTGTGGCTTCCTTCAGCTGACGCTGGTTGTGCAGTCTACCCCAGCAGGCCCCGGGGCTGACCCTGGGGATTTGGGGGCCTTGAGCTCATACCCAGTCCCCCAAGGGCTTCCTGCAACAGCGAAGGCCAATGCGAGAGGCAACTTAGGGCATCCGGAAGGTTCCTACAGGAGGTTTCGCATGAGCTGAGTCCAAAGGCTGAGCAGGGATGAGCTAGCTGTGGTGGGGAGAGGGAAGGGCCAGCAGCGGGGCCAAAGGCCGGTGTGGGGCTGGGGGCTGGATGCCAGTCAGGCCAGTTTGGCTGGGCAAAGGATGAGGGGTCTGCCTTAACCCGCGCAGGCCGTGGGGGACATGCTGATGCCTTAACCTTTCCCAGCACCAGGCTACCTGCAACTCTTAATGTGATTTGGTATTTGTTCTTTGTATTGTTTTTCTTAAACATGGCTCCTCTATTGTTGAAGTTTCAGACCCCCAAAACCTTGACCCACCCTCTTCTGAGGTTTGAATGATACAGCGGGGTAGGTGGAGTGGGTGGTAGGAGAAGGGGGGAGCCTGGGCTATGAAGGGTGGGCAGGATGGGGCGGCCCACCTAGAGCTGACAAGGGGGCGCCCCTGGATTTTGGGTGCAGTCTGGGGGACTCCTTGGCTCTAGAGTACAGGCCGGGGGGGGGAGGGGGCTGCTCCTGGCTCTCAGGTGCAGGGGATGGTGGGGATGCTCCTCTTCGGGAACCTGCTCTTAGCTCTGAGGAAGTTGGCCTCAGCTGTGCCTGGCTGCGGTGAACCGAGCCTGCTCAGCACCCAGTAGGGGAAGTGGCCAGGAACCTGGGTGACAGGCGGCTAAGAGGGACTGCAGCCCCCTGTGGAGGAGGTGAGTGTCTCCGGCTTTCCAGAGGTCATCTGGTCCATCTCCCAGCCTCTGGCCTCCAGCCAGCACGCCTAGGACAAGTCTGGCCTCTCTGCCCGGCCTTACCCAGTCCTCCCCAGGGGCCAGTGTCTGGAATAGCCCACTTGGCAGTCTCCCCTTTGGGCTGGTTTTGGGGTTCAGAGCAGAGTGGTGGGGGCGGGGCGTGGGGAGCGCCGAAGACCCCGTCGTCGCAGGGGCACGGCGGACTCCGCGTTAAGGGCCAGGCACTGCTCGGTGCTGGGGACGAAGGGAAACCCGCGCCCTGGTGCCTGCGCAAGCGCACGTGCGCGCCAGGTGCCTGAGGAGGCGCGCCCCGCCTCCCGAGCTGAAGTGAGCAGCAGACGCTGCGCGGGTGGCCCGGGTCAGGGCCCGCGAGGTCACTGAGAGCCCCAGGCTTCCAGGGGTGCAGCGGTGGGCAGAGCGCGGACATCGCACCACGAGTGGGGCCGGTGACCCGGGCACAAGGGGCCGGAGGCTGCAGAAGAGGCTGGAGGAAGAGAAGGGAGAAGGGCTGGCACCCTGGAGGGAACGCAGCCAAGAGCAAGATGTCACTCAAGTGCGTCAGGCAGCGGGGGCAAAGTGCTAACAGGCCCTGTTCAGGCTCCCAAACTTGAGTTTGTGCCTGAAGTGTGAAAACGATTGCAGCTCACACTCAGCAGCACCGGTTGCCAGCTGCTCTCAAAATGCCCCTAGTGGCACCTGTTTTCAGTGAGGGCTTTGCTGAGAAACTGGGACAGCAGTCTCGAGACCAGTAGAGGGGCTGCGCTGTGCGGCCACTGGGTCAGGGAGCAGGGGACATGCTGGTGCCAGGCTGGGGCACTGGAAACAGGGATTCCCGAGGGGAACAAGTGGCCGTCTGTGGGCCAGCCAGCCTTTGCTGGGGCTCCATTTGACCCTGTACCTGCCTGTGTCCCTCCAAGGGTGGGCCACCGTGGGCTGGTGTGCCCCTGCTTCTCAACCCCAGGAGACCCTCCCTCTGGAGGACTCCGGCTGCCAGCCCAGGGAGCACCTCAGATGCTCTCTGGCATTTTCTAAGACAGCTGGCAGCGTTAGAACTTGCAAAGAACAGATTTATTTCAGGGAAAACTGGGGGAGGAGGTTGAAGCCAGGTGAACCCACGGTTCAGGCTGCCAGTCACCCAGGAGACAGCACCCCTGGTCCTGGCAGAAACACTCAGAAGACCTCGACAGGGGCAGCCGAGGCCCCTCCCCAGGCAAAGCAGGAGGCCCCTGCTGCTTGTGCTTCCTGGTGGTGGAAAAGGGAGCCTGCGGCAGGAATACTTCCCACTGAGAGCAGTCTTCACTTATTTATGAAGTACCAGTGTTTGACCCATGAAAATTAGAACCTTGAAAATAAAGATTGTGTCCTTCAGCAGAGAAGACAGGAAGGGGCAGGTGGGAGGAGGTGGAGCAAGCGCCCTCCTCGGTGACACTCGCACTCAAGCTTGGTTTCTCATGCTTGGTGGCAGATGCTCATTTTTTTTGTTTTTTGGTGAGGAAGATCAGTCCTGAGCTAACATCTAGTGCTAATTTTCCTCTTTTTGGTGAATAAGATTAGCCCTGAGCTAACACCTGTTCCCATCTTCCTCCATTTTGTATATGGGATGCTGCCACAGCATGGCTGATTAGCAGTGCGTAGGTCCGCGCCGGGATCCAAACCTTCGAACCCTGGGCCACCGAAGCAGAGCGTGGGAACTTACCCACTACGCCACCAGGCCGGCCCTGATGCTCATTTTTTCTTACAAGATGCAGTTCTTTTTATTCAGACTATGATGAAAACCGTTCAGTCAGAAGGAAAGCACGTCTCTGGAGTAATGTCCTCAGGTATCTTAGGGAGGGAAGAGGAAGGAACAGCCGCCAGCTGGGCTGCAGGCCCAGACAAGGTGAGAACGGCAGGACAGCTGCCTCGGGAGACCCACAGTGCCTGGGGAAGCGGCCCAAAAGGGGGATGGGACAGGGCAGTCTGGGTTGTGACAGGTGGACAGGGATGCCAGGACCCTGCTCCTCTACAGAGCCCGTCTGAGGACCCAATGCTCCCCTTCATGGTTTCTCTGTGATGGGGACAAAGACAGGCAGAAAAGTGAGCAGCTGAGGGCTGGCGAGGCACTGGCCACTCGACCAAGTGAGTCAGACCTCACTGAGGCGGGGGCAGCCAGGGGAAGGTGGCCGCCTCCGTAAACTGAAATAGACCCGCCAAAAAGCAGCCACACCAAAGTCCCTCATGTCAAACTGCTTTATTACATCTTAAATAACAGCACAGTTTAATATAGTATCTATCTTGCATCCAGCTTCCTTGCAGTACACCGACCTTAAAATTAAATACAAAAGGTGAGGGGCAGGGTGCAGAGAGCTCTACAGCGGCGGCGATGGAAAGACAAGGAAGGGGCTTCGCGTTCCTCTTCCAGACCCAGGCCTCCTGCATGTCATAGCACAGCTTTGTACAGGATGTTGCAGAAAAACAGGATGGACAGAAGCTACTACAGCTGCTATGGGAGAGTGCTTGGGGTGCAGGAGAGGGCCCACAACACTGCTGTCCAAACGCTGCTGCTGAACACTGGACTCGGAAAAAAACCAGGAAAGTCTGCGTGTTAGAAAAATGATCGCTTCAGATGCAAAAAGCTTGTTCCATGGGAGAGACAGGCCGTGAGGGATTTATAAAGAGGAAGGCCGGGGTCTCCAATCCCTACTCCCCTCCACCCTGCCAATTCAACAGCGATCGTTTGGAAAGGACTTGCTTTTCTAGAGAAATAGAGGGAACAGTGACTTGTCCTGCTGCTCAAGCGTGCAGAGCTGCTTACTGTGCTGCCTCCGACGCGTGTGTGCAGCGTAAGTGGAGAGAGCCGCGACGGCTGTAACTTCAGAGAGGCTACTTCTTAAAAGAGAAAGAACATCTAAGGACTGAGTCCTATATGCACTTTTGAGCATTTCTACAGCATGCGAGTCTAAAAGTAAACCCACCCAATATGGCAAACGATCAAATTTTTTAAAATTTAACTTAGAAAGTTTGAGATCATTATTTTCAAAACATTGATTTGTACATTGTTTCATACACAAATAATTGACTGACTATCCAAGCACAGGACGGGCACCTCTCTTGAAAATAGAGGTTCCTGATGTTTGGGGTTGGGATATGGGGTAGTGTTAGGCTATTATAAACTTCCCTCCAACTTCACAAGGAAACCCCAGGTGAGATTAAAAACTGAACTGAGAAGGTAGAGGCTGGGTTGGGGAAGAAAAAGTTGCCTGATTTGAGTTTACTATTCATCACGCATTCAAGACCAACAGCACGTGCTCGGTTGCTTTACTTCTTAGCATCATTCTTTCTATGCCATGTTTGTGCGCAACAATTATGTGACACTAGACAAAAAATAAAAAACCAGGGACTAAATTTACATCATTAACAATTTCAGAGAGGCTGCCCTAGACCCTCTTTCTCTGTTCAACTACTGAACATAAAGGAATATATTTAAAAAGTAACTATGAATGTTTTCAAAATCCTGTTACAAACACGACCTGCAATTTAGAACCAATTACGAGGTGAAGTCCTCAACTTGTTTTGCATGAACATCACAGAACAGGATCACTGATCTAAACTTCAAATAAACTAGTGAAAAGGTATGTCTGTCTCACAATACACTCAAGTTTACCTTCTG